TGTGATTGACTTATTTCACTCAGCATAATGTCCTCCAAGTCCATCCACGTTATGCAATGTTTTGTAGATTCTACATTATTCTTTAGCGTTGTATAATATTCCATTGTGTGTATGTACCATAGTTTGGTTATCCATTCCTCAGTTGATGGATACCTACGCTGTTTCTAACTTTTTGCTATTGTAAATATTGCTGTGATGAACATGGGTGTGCATATGTCTGTTCTTGTCATGGCTCTCACTTCTTTAGGATATATACCTAGAATTTACACATTTTTTGATCAGCACGTTAAAATAATTTTCAATTGGCATAAGCACTTAGTTTTGTCTGTTGTCATTGTATGAGAACTAGGGTTTTTATATATATATGTATATATAAAACCCAAGAGAGAAAGCTAATCTTTTCATAGATTAGAAGACCTATTGTTTGTTCAACCTAATGATTTAAAACGTTTCACTTAGTACTTTTATTATACTTTGGCAATTCTTGGTGAAATTTATATTATTTGTAATACCTGCTTTGCTCATTGAACAGATAATAGGTACTATATTTGTCTTTCACGAATAATGGGTTTATAGCATGCTTAAGGAAACTTTTCATAATGTTGCATTTACAATAAATTCTTAATGTTTTGTGCATCCTGCTTTCTTTCCAGTGCAACTTGGCCACATGCTGTCCGTCGACTTGCAGAGTCTTATTTGAGAGATCCTATGATTGTATATGTTGGCACTTTGGATCTAGTTGTGAGCTTGTTTATTTAGTACTCTTTTTAAAAGCATTCCTTGTTATGGAAGTTTTAAACACAACCAGTTTTGATATGTCTACTCTGCACATTCTCCAATTTTAGGATAAATCCCAGATATATATAATTTTATCTACCAATACTTGATTATATCTCTCTGAAGACTTTTTATATAACTATAGTACTATTATCTCACATTAAAAATTTAATCCCTCAACACCATCAAATATCCAGTCAGTGTTTTCATATTTTCTTTTTTAATTTTTATTGTGATTTGGGTGAAAGCTTACAGAGCAAATTCATTTTCCAGACAGCAGTTCATGCACATTTTGATTCATGTCAAATTGACATGACATTGACTGTAATTCCCCAGAATGTAACAGCACTCTTCTCACTTCCTCCTTGTAGTTACCTCTTCCCTGTGTCCTTCCCTCACATGGACACCGATCCCCTCCCTCCCAGCTGTCTTCCTGGGTGAACACTGCCCTACTGTTCTCCCACGATTGATGCTCCAGGGAGTGTATCTACCTGATGTAAATGTTCACCCTATATGCTTGTTGATTGTTAGTGTTCATATTTTCTTAATATAGTAGATCTTTTTCTTTTTTTAATTTTGTGATTTGGGTGAAAGTTTACAGAGCAAATTCATCTTCCATACAGAAATATAGTAGATCGTTTTTTAAAAAATTCTGTTAGAATCTGGATCTAAACAAAGTTTAGATATATGCAAATTTGGTCATTATGAATCTTAATCTTTAATCTGTAGCTCTCCCAATCTGTATGTGTGTGTGTCCATTTATATGGACAGAAGAAACTGTTTATAGAGTTTCTCACAGTCTAGAGTTGGCTGATTCCCACAGGGTTGTCTCATATGTTCTCTATTCCTGAAGTTCCTATAAGTGGTACTTAGATATGGAAACTTCATCAAATCCTGAGTTGTTTCTGTTTCTTCTTTTTACAGAAATTGTGATATTTACTTGTTTTTGTATCACTTCAAGAGGAATGTCAGTCTAACACTCTTTGTGATGTTAAGATTTTTCAGCGTGTTCAGATGTTTTTGGTCTGATTATAAAATTCCCTGATGGCCTTTCACCTAATGGTGATCACTGCCTAGCTCTGTGATTTCATTAAACCAAAAAAAAACAAAAAACAAAAAACCCAAACCCACTGCCATAGAGTCGAATGTGACTTATAGCGACCCTTCCCTTGGGTGTCCGAGGCACTATCACTACGGAAGTAGATTGCCCACTTCCTTCTGAGGAGTGGCTGGTGGATTTGAACCACCAGCCTTCTGGTTAGCAGTCAAATGCCGTAGACACTATGCTACCAGAGCTCTTGTGATTTCATTAGGGGTTGCCAAATATAATTCTTTTTTAAAAAATTCACATGTAATTATTTTCTATAATTTCTATACTACTTTCTGCAAGTATAATTCTTTTCCTTTATTAAATACTACTAAAATCTATTTTATCTAAAGAGATAGTATTTTATCTCTTTCTGGGTTAAAGGATGGTACCAGTGGTGTTTTGAAATGTTGTATTAAATTGTCAAAATGCTAATTGAATTGAGACTCTTTTATCATAAATGGAAGGGCAGTTTCTCAAACTCAAGATGCTAGTCTTTGTAAGCCTGGCTTCATCTCATGGTTATTTTCTTTTCCTGTGGTAGCTAGTTTCTTTCAACACTCTCTGCCAAGCTCTCAAGCATCCCCTACTTTTTTATTTTGCACTTGAATGACAAAAGTGAAAGGATAAAACTATAAATCATAAGTAGACACAGGCAATTTTTCCAAAACCTCTGTCTTTCTTCTTGTCAATAGTTTATTAAAATATTCACCAGTGATAGAATAAGATGTATTTTGAGCTTATATGTGTGGTTCCTGCCTAATGTCAATGTATTATGATTTTGGAATCCTTTAGGCTGTAAATACTGTGAAGCAAAATATAATTGTTACCACAGAAGAAGAAAAACGAAGTCATATTCAGATTTTTCTAGAGAGCATGTCTCCCAAAGACAAAGTCATTGTGTTTGTCAGCAGAAAAGCTGTGTAGGTATTTTTTCCTTTTATTCTGTTAACGATCATCAGTCCAAGTGAGTTTGTTTAGGATTAGTTCTGTCTGTATTCTAATTTCAAATGGTGGTGGGTATGTTTGTTATAGTATTTTAGTCCAGGTTTCTGCTAATAGAAGTAAAACTAGGGAATTAATGATGGTACTAGAATAGCACTAAAGATCACCAACTTTCTTGTACTTCAGTGCTGACCACTTATCAAGTGACCTGATTCTCCGACACATATCAGTCGAGTCCCTTCATGGCAACAGAGAACAGAACGATCGGGAGAAAGCATTAGAGAACTTCAAAACAGGTACATTTATATAATCACTATATGTTGCAGTTTAAAAGTATGTCCAATTCCTGGGTTTTGCTGAGGGACAGAACCTATTTCTAAGATCTATCCTCAGCTTACAGATCCCAAAACTTCTTCTTGTTATGTGCCGTCAAGTCGGACCTGACTCATAGAGGCCCCTCCTTGGGTTTCCGAGGCAGTATCACTATGGAAGTAGATTGCCCAACCTTCCTTCCGAGGATTGGCTGGTGGGTTTGAACCGCCAGCCTTCTGGTTAGCAGTCAAGTGCCTTAGGCACTATGCTACCTGAATTCCGAAAAATTAGAGCTCTAAATATTTTTCAGACTCTCAGAACTAACCTGCCAAATTCAAAAAAGACTGATGTTTAAAGCAGGCTGCCAAGGTATTAATTTTCAGTGGGGGATATATCTGTTCACTTACTTTGTGTATGGTAGCTGGGAGGCCAGACCATTAAAAAGATTGCTTGGTAAGCAAGGAAGCTGAGCAGAGCTCAGTGGTTAGCTCTATGGATTATTTCATCCTGAGGTCTGATAAACAATCCTTTTCTGTAACAGTGACCAGGGCCATGTTCAACCCAATCGTTCTGATTGAAGCACATAAAAATATTTCTGACCACACCTTTTTTTATGTCTTTATTGAGTTAAAACTGACAGACAATAAACTGCTCATATTTAAAGTACAGTGGTTGACCCTTGAACAACACAGGCATTGGGGCGCCAACCCCCTGCAGTTGAAAATCTGTAACTTTTGGCTCCCCCAAAACTTAACTAGTATTAGCCTGTTGTTGACTGGAAGCTTTACCAATAATCATCAACAGTTCTTGACGTACAATTTTTAGATTTTCACACAGACACTCACACTCATTCAAAACAGATAAGTTTATTAACTGTATGGCAAGATGATTATTTACTGTTGATAAGTGGAAATGGGTCATCATAAAGGTCTTCATCCTTGTAGTCTTCATGTTGAGTAGGCTAAAGAGCAGGAGGATGAGGAGGGGTTGGTTGTGCTGTCTCAGGTAGAAAGGGTGGAGGAGGGAGGAGAGGCAGGCACAGTCAGTGTAACTTTATGGAAATATGTTGTCATTTCTGTCTGACTTTTTTGCTTTTTCATTGTCTAAAAATGTTCCCATACAGTACCAATCCTGCCTGCTCCATTTGCTTTAGTTTCAGTGTCTTTATTGTAGAAGGGTCCATGTCATAAAAGAAGTCAAAGGCAATCTGAAATCATTGGAACCCCTCTGCCAGATTGTCCAATGGTAGTTTGTTTTCTGGTCCTGCTTCTGCATCTTGCTCATTGTCTGGTGCTGATTCAGAAGCACTCATCTCCATCAAGTCGTCATCTGTTAATTCCTCTGATGTGGTATCTGTTAACCTCTTAACTTTCTCCAAGATCCGTATCTTGAAATAAAGCTGCATGTAGGTGAACCCATGCAGTTCATACCCATGTTGTTCAGGGGTCAAGTGTGTAGAGTTTGTGTTTGACATGCATCTATGAAACTACCACTACAATCAAGACAATGAGCATTTCCATCACCTCTGAAAGTTTCCTGGTATTCCTTTATGATCTATCCCTCATTTTCTCCTCCATTCCCAGGTATCCACTGCTGTGCAGTTTCTCACTGTAGATCACTTTGCATTTATACCTACCATATTCCTGTTTATATTTTGTCCCATCTTTTTATATCACTTTTTTTTCTACATTCTTTTGGATTATTTTTATGATTCCATTGTTATCTCATTTATTAGCTTATTAGCTATACTTCTTTGTTTTCTACTCTAGTGGTTGCTTCAATGTCTGCAGTGTGCATCTTTAACTTATCATAGTTTACTTCAAATAATATCACTGATTTTAAACATGTTGTTGTGGTGACTTCATGCTGCTCTCACAGAAAATACCACAAATGGGATGACTTTAACAAACAGGGATTTATGCTCTTACAGTTTTGGAGGATAGAAGTTCAAGATCAAAGTGCCAGCTCTAGGGGCTGGATGAAAGCTCCTCAACCTTGGGCTTCAGCTCTGCCTCTTGTTCCCAGCATACTGGACCTAAAGGAATCTCTTTACTCAGGTAGCTGCTAGCTGCTAAGGCTAACAAGCTCAAGGTCAACAAGTAAAATAGCACAGTCCCAATATTACCAAACAACACAGCAGACTACTAGTTCAAGTCCAGAGAAACCTGGCAGGCTGGCAGGCTTCTAAATGAAGACTCAGCTACATGCAGAGTCCAAGCATGCCAAAAAGCTGCAGCCCATTCCCAAAGCTGCTGCTTGTATACTGAAAGCAGACCACATCCCTAAAGCAGTTAGTCAGCTGCTTGTGACAGATTCCACCATGGAGCTGATTGCCAATCTTATTGTAGGGAATAACTATAACCAACTGCCCAGCCACTCAGAACCAGGCCCAGCCAAGTTGACACACAACTTAACGGCTACAACCTATTGATTGTGATATACTTACATGTTTTATCTGCTTGAGGTTTGCCGAGATTCTTGCATCTGTGGGATTGTAATTTTCATCAAATATGGAAAATTGGGCATTATTTCTTCAAATAGTGTTCCTATTTCCTCCTGTTCCAGGAACTCTAATAATTGCGTGTATATTAGCCCTCTTGAAGTTGTCTCATTACTCACAGATGTTCTGTTCCTTTTTTCAGTCATTTTTCTCTTCCATTTTGTATAGGTCTTGTTATGTCTTCAAATTAGTTCTTCAAATTAGTTCACTGATCTTTTCTTCCACACTAATCTGCTGTTAGTCTCATCCAATGTATTTTTCATCCCATTGTTTTATTCCATCTCTAGAAGTTTGACTTATGTCTTATCTTCCATATCTTCCCTTTACATATTCAAGCTTTTGTCTATCCCCTTGAATGTACAGAATATAGTTATACCAAAAAATTAAGTCAAGCACACTGCCATTGAGTCGATTATGACTCATAGTGACCCTATGGGGCAGAGTTAAACTGCCTATTGGGTTTCCAAGGCTTTGACTCTTTATAGAAGCAGACTGCCTCATCTTTCCCAAAGAGCAGCTGGTAGGTTCAAACTAGTGACCTTTTGGTTAGCAGGTGAATGCTTTAACCACTGTACTACCCAAACTCCTTGAATATAGTTATTAAAAAAATAAAAACAAACTCACTGCCACTGAGTTGATTCCAACTCATAGTGACCTCCTTTGGGTTTCTGAGGCAGTAAATTTTTACAGAAGTAGATTGCCCAGTCTTCCTTCCGTGGAGTGGCTGGTGGGTTTGAACAGCCAACCTTCTGGTTAGCAGTTAAACGCCCTAGGCACTATGCCACCAGAGCTCCTTTTAATATAGTTTTTTTTTTTTTTTTAAAAAAAAAAAAAAAAACCTTACTGCCATCGAGTCGATTCTGACTCATAGAGACCCCCTTTGGGTTTTGAGGTGGTAAGTAGTATAGTTATTGTGACTGTTAATTAACTTTTTACTAATTTTATCATTGGTGTTGTTTCTGGATTTGTTTCTATTGATTTTTTTTTTTCTTCTAGTTATGCGTCATGTTTTTCTGTTTCCTTTTTTGATTGGATGCCAGAAAATGTGAATTTTACATTTTGAGTGCTAGAAGTTTTCATATTCCTTTAAATATTTTATGGGTTTTGTTCTGGAACCCGGTTAGATTACTTGAACACAGGGCTTATAATGATTTTTGTTTTCATAGTATAGAAAGTGCCCTATAATCCCAAGTCTCCAGATAAAACATTAATGTTAATGTAGAGGTGACATTTTGGTATGCCCTAATTTAATCTGGTAGCATAGTGGCTAAAGCACTTGACTGCTAACCAGAAGGCTGGCGGTTCAAACCCACCAACCACTCCTCGGAAGGAAGGTTGGGCAATCCTACTTCCGTAGTGATACTGCCTCGGAAACCCAAGGAGGGGTCGCTATGAGTCGGGGCCGACTCGACGGCACATAACAACAACAACAACAACAATTTAATCTCAGGAATGTTTTTAACATTCATTTTGAATAACTTGTCCCTTTCTTCCAGGTTCTTTTCCAAAACCATGTTTAGCCTATATTATTCTATACTTTAAAATGGTAGTTTTTTAGCTTTAAGATATTTATTCATTCTTGAACTCTTTCAGTTTCAGGGACCATTTGCTGAACTGTGATATCTATTATGTTGTAAATGGACAGTTTGCTTTTTTTAAAGGGACATTAAGTATTCCTTTCCCATTTTCAGTATCTTAGTAAGCATGTTAATCTAAGCAATAGTAATTCATCTGATGAAATAATAAGGGAATATATACTTTTCATATATGTCTTGTGTTGATTTATGCCAAATGTATCCATATGCACATGACTTTACTCTTTAGGTAAAGTGAGAATATTGATTGCTACTGACTTAGCTTCCCGAGGTCTTGATGTCCATGATGTTACCCATGTCTATAATTATGATTTCCCCCGGAACATTGAAGAATATGTCCACAGAGTAGGGCGCACTGGACGAGCAGGGTGAGTAAGCACAGTCTCTCTTAAAAGTGGAATTCCAATCCATCTCATTACTCCCCTCTGATACTATCCTTGTCCAAGAAACCATTTAGTTCTCTTTTACTGTTTGCTGTCTGCTTCTTCCCAAAATCTGCTTGAGTTACTTTATCCATGTCGAGTTGGTCTGCTGCAGATTCAACCAGATCCCTCCATGATTAGCCTCACCAAGCTGCTTCTGATTCTACTCTTTGCTTCATCTCTATAGTGTCCCAACATTAAGCTGCATCCAGTGGCTACTCTGAATGTTGGTGACAAATTCTCTTAATTGGCATGCATATGAGAGAGGACTTTGTCCTCTTCCTAAGAACATTTTAAACAATTGCAGGTTGTTCAGATTTCAAATTGGTTTGCATGACCTTAATTCTTAATACATAATAAATATTGGGATTTGTATGGAAAAACTTGAGGTTTTGCTGTTGGTCTTTATTCTGTTCTTTTGCTAACTGAATCATGAATACAAATTATAAAACAAATTCATAAGTTTTTCTCCTCCTGCCCCTTAAAGGAGAACTGGTGTGTCCATTACCCTTATCACAAGAAATGACTGGAGGGTTGCCACTGAACTGATTAATATTCTGGAAAGAGCAAATCAGGTAAGAATATGCCACTCATTAGAAGTCTACCTCTAATCACTTTTATAATGTTCCATCATTTTGTTTATGCTAGTTGCTGGGAATGTCATTGTGGAGAAGTGCCCTACTCATGGAGCTTACTGCTTCCCAAGACAGATATTAAACAAGTAATTAAACATGCTGTGAGGGCTATAGCATGGCAAACATAAGGAACTATGTATGAGGAGCATGTAACTAGGGAACCTAATGTAATGGAGATGGCTCAGTGAAAGCCTTGCTGAGGAAGAAACCAAGGAGGTGTGGGGGTAAGGAGAGCCCTAGAAGATGAGGAAAGTATTCCAGCAGAAGGAACATATTCAAGCCCAGAGGTGAGAGAGAATATGCAGAAAGTAGCACTAGATAAGGACATGGTGAGGGCACTGGGTAGCACCTGTTGTTGTTGTTGTTGTTGTGTGCCGTCGAGTCGGCCCCGACTCATAGCGACCCCTCCTTGGGTTTTCGAGGCAGTATCACTACGGAAGTAGGATTGCCCAACCTTCCTTCCGAGGAGTGGCTGGTGGGTTTGAACCGCCTAGAGGGCTATATAAGCAAGGGAATAATAATGATGGACGTTTTTAAGATCAAGTCTGGTTTTATAGCCTTAGGATGGATTTAAGGGTTAATAGACAGGAAGACAAATTTCATTCTGTCTGAAAAATGTAAAAATGTTACCTAATAGTTGTACAGATTTCTCTGGTGAAAATAATTTGGGTGCTTTTTAGCATATTGTAGATGTTAAGGTTGTGTGTCAGCTTGGCTGGGGTGTGACTTGAGTGGCTTGGCAGCTGAATGCAGTCATTTTCCGTGATAAGACTATGCCGTTGTGTCCATCACCTCCATGGTGGAATCTGCTGTGAGCAGTTAAACAGTTAAAGGAGAGTGCCTTCTGGATATGGTTTGCTTCCAGTATATATAGAAAGAATCTTGCATTTGGTTCAGTCTTCATCTCCAGTTCCTGGACTTGGGCTTGTGGCCTCCTCTGTTGCCTGATCTTTGCATTGTGCCATTTTTATCTGCCAATCCTGGGTTTGTCGGCCTCAGCTCCTGCAGCTGCATGAGTTAGAAGCCTCTGGCTCCAGTGGGCCTGGAACAAGAGGCAGAGCTGAAGTCCAAGGTGAAGGGGCCTTCATCCAGCTCCTAGAGCTAGCACTCTGAACTAGCTTCCTAAACTGTAAAAGAATAAATTCCCATTTGTTAAAGCCACCCACTTGCGGTATTTGTTATAGCAGCACTAAAAAACTAAGAAGGAGCTCTGGTAGCATAGTGCCTACAAGCACTTGACTGCTAACCAGAAGGCTGGTGGTTCAAACCCACCAGCCACTCCTTGGAAGGAAGATGGGTCAATCTACTTCCGTGGTGATACTGCCTCGGAAACCCGAGGAGGGGTCACTATGAGTCGGGCCTGACTTGACGGCACAAAACAACAACAACAAAGAACTAAGACAGTAGAAAAGCTATAATAGTGAAAGAAAATACTCAGAATCCTAACAACACATTTAATGATTTCAGAGTGTCCCAGAGGATCTTGTGTCAATGGCTGAGAGATATAAGGCCAATAAACAGAAAAAGGAAACAGAAAAAAAATCGGAAAGACCTCAAGGAAAATCCAAGAAGTTTTATTATTAATGTGTATATTAAAAGTGGTACCAGACCACTGGAGGTAAAACTTAAATAACTAATTCATGGACTTTCAAATGCCTGCTTTTTCTTAAACTAGGCTTTATTTGTAGGCAGAATTCAGTCAGCAGTATCTCTAGGAGTCTTTTCAACAAGTGTTACTCTCACAGTATTTTATTTAGGTTTAGCAGTTGTACTAATGTAACGGTGAGAGAATAAAATTAGAAAGATCTATAATTGAGTTGGTAGAGCTATAAATTATTGGTAATATATCAATTGCAAATACATATACCCTTTAATTCAGGAATTCCTCTCCTAGGAATGTATTCTAGAAATATATTTGCAGATACAGGTAAAAATTTATAGTAGTAATGTTTGTAGTAGGAGCTCTGGTGGCATAGTGCCTATAACACTTGACTGCTAACCAGAAGGCTGGCTGTTCAAACCCACCAGCCGCTCCTCGGAAGGAAGATAGGACAATCTTCTTCCGTAGTGATACTGCCTCAGCAACCCAAGAAGGGGTCACTGTGAGTTGGGTCCGACTCGATGGCACATAACAACAACAACGTTTGTAGTAGTAAAGACAACAACATAAATTCTTGGAGCTAGATGAATAAATTATGTCACATTGGTATACTCTGCAGTTGTTAAAGAACATGTGAACTGTCTTTAAGATGTCTTCTTAAGTGTTAAAAACAAAATACTTCCCACTAAGACCAGGAAGGAAGCGGGCCGGTATGGCAGATTTGGAGTGGCTGAGGGAGACCAAGAAGTGAGCAGAACAGTTTGGAACAGCTAAGGGAGATGAACTTGTCTGTAAGTTTGTTGTACTGTGGTAGCTTGTTTGTTGATGTGAGGCTAGAGGCTATCCCACTGGTGTTTCAAATGCCAGCAGGGTTACCCATAGTGGACAGGTTTCAGCGGAGCTTCCAGACTAAGAAGAAAGGGGCCATCTACTTCTCAAAGAAGTGGCCAGTGAAAACCTTATGAATAGCAGTGAAACATTGTCTGATATATTACTGGAAAACTTTATGAATAGCCCCGAAACATTGTCCAACATAGTGCCAGAAGGTGGGCCCTTCAGATTGGAAGCACTCAAAATATGACTGGGGAAGAGCTTTCTCCTCAGAGTAGAGCTGATCTTAATGTGGATGGAGTAAAGCTTTCAGGACCTCCATTTGCTGATGTGGCATGACTCAAGATGAGAAGAAACAGCTGCAAACATCCATAAATAATCATTACGTGGAATGTACAAAGTATGAATCTAGGAAAATTGGAAGTTGTCAAAAATGAAATGGAATACATACAGATTGAGATCCTAGGCATTAGTGAGCTGAAATGGACTGGTTTTGCCAATTTTGAATCAGACAATTATATGATCTACTATGCTGGCGGTGACAAAATGAAGAAGAATGGCATGGCATTCATCATCACAAAGAATGTATCAAAATCTATCCTGAAGTATAGTGCTGTCAGTGATAGGATAATATCCATACACCTGCAAGGAAGACCAGTTAATACTACTATTACTCAAGTTTATTCACCAACCACCAAAGCCAAAGATGAAGAAATTGAAGATTTTTTACCAACTTTTGCAGTCTGAAATTGACCAAACATGCTATCAAGATGTGCTGATTATCACTGGTGATTGGAATGCAAAAGTTGGAAACAAAGAAGGATCACCCATAGTTGGATAATACGGCCTTGGTGATAGAAATAATGCTGGAGATCACAAGATAGAATTTTGCAAGACCAACGACTCATTCATTGCAAATACATTTTTCAACAATACAAACAGTGGTTATACACATAGACTTCACCAGATGGAGTACACTGGAACCAGACTGACTACATCTGTAGCAAGAAGCAATGGAGAAGCTAAATATCTTTAGCCAAAACAAGACCAGGAGCTGATTGTGGCACAGACCAACTGCTCATATGCAAGTTCAAGTTGAAGCTGAAGACAATTAAAACAAGTCCGTGAGAGCCAAAATATGACCTTGATAATATCCCTCCTGAATTTAGAGACAATCTAAAGAATAGATTTGATGCATTGAACACCAATGACCGAAAACCAGAGGAATTGTGGGATGACATCAAGAACATCCATGAAGAAAGCAAGAGGTCATTAAAAAGACAGGAAAGAAGAAAAGACAAAAATGGATGTCAGAAGAGACTCTGAAACTTGCCATTGAATGGAGAGTAGCTAAAGCAAATGGAAGAAATGACAAGCTAAAAGAGCTGAACAGAAGATTTCAAAGAGAAGCTCAAGAAGAGAAATTGAATTGTTATAATAAAATGTGCAAAGACCTGGAGTTAGAAAACCAAAAAGAAAGAACACACTCAGCATTTCTCAAGCTGAAAGAACTGAAGAAAAAATTTAAGCCTCAAATAGCAATATTGAAAGATTCTATGGGTAAAATACTGAATGATGCAGGAAGCATCAAAAGAAGATGGAAGGACTTGGAAGGGATGTACGAGATCCTGCATAGAGAGGGAGAACAATGTGGAACAAAACTCAAAATCATTTGGAGGCAAAAAAAAAAAAAAA